CAGACAGATGGCTCAGGGAAGATCAACTTTGATGAGTTCCGACACCTCTGGGACAAAATTAAAAGCTGGCAGGTAGTGCTGCTCTTCATAGCTCCACAATGCAAAATCTTGTGTAGAGAAACCAGACCTCATTATGTGCCCTACACCAAAAAAGGTCCCAGAATTGCAAACTAGTTTTTAAGATGAAGGCTAATGTCTTCCTTCAGCCTTTTCTTAGCCTAAGCAAACATCTAGAGCTACAGCATTCATGTGAGGAGATTCCCCCCTAAGAAAGGGGGAGGCACGCAAGATGGAGGAGGAGGAGGATGGGAAATAGAGCCAGGCACGGCAATTAGCTTAATTAGGGCAATTAAGAGAGAGGATTAACAGCATAAACTCAAGTCAAATGAGGAAGGTCTCTGGGGGGAAAAGTTTTTTCTTCTAACAGCACAGATCTAACTCACGTGTCAGGAGTGAGGGGAGCTGTGTGTGAACAACACAGATTGCTGAACAGCAGCCATGGTGATACAAGGCAAAGCCTCCAGGTGCTGCAGGGTAGCACTCACATCAGCAGGCATGTCCTACAAAAGTATAAGCTTTAATTTCTGCTGTGTACTTCCTTTTTGCAGAAAATCTTCAAACATTACGATGCTGACCATTCAGGAACCATTAACAGCTATGAGATGCGCAATGCAGTCAAAGATGCAGGTAATTCCCCCCGTGTCCAATGCCCAGCAGCCAAATAAACCTTCTTTTGGTTGATGCATTACAGAGTGAGGTCAGGAATACAGCCCAGCCTTTTAAGGAGGAGCCCTAGAGAAATTTTTAATATATTTTTTTTCCTCCAGCAGAAGTTCTCAAATATATCTCAGTCTCACAAATGATCAAAATCAAAGAAGTACTAAGTCAGCACTCACACTTGCCTAGTTTTACCCTTTTAATTTGAGCAGAGTTTGTGCAACATCTGTGCAACTCTACTAAGAGCACACGGGATGTGCATCGGGGAGCCCAGCTGTGCGCAAGTTAGCTTTCAATGACGCAGTCACCTACCAAAATTACCTACTTGCTCTCATTTAAGCTGTAGATTCTTTATTGTTGTAAAAGGAACAACCAAACCCATTTCTGGCCCCACTGCAGGGTTTCGGCTGAACAACCAGCTCTATGACATCATCACGATGCGCTACGCTGACAAGAACATGAACATCGACTTTGACAGCTTCATCTGCTGCTTTGTGAGACTGGATGCTATGTTCAGTGAGTGGCTGCCTTCATTTTACAGCCTTGTCCTCTTCCCTGCCCCCAAACACACTCTGATATTTAAAGAAGAGTTTATTATACACAGCACTATTGCCTATGTATAATTTTAATAATGTAAGATGTGTGCTAGGTTATGACAGACATCCCATACAAACACAAAAAATAATAAGCCATTATGTATCTCCTTGTATTAGCTATGGAAAAAGCATAGCAGAAATACTTGCTGACCAAAAAAGCAAACACGTGCACAGGTTTGGATAACACAGTGGGAACATGATTTAGTTTGCTGCATGGGATCATCCTTACACTTTGGTTGAACAATAATTGATCCTGTGTATTTTTCTGTCATTGATTTAGGGGCATTCCATGCCTTTGATAAAGATGGAGATGGAATCATAAAACTCAACGTCCTGGAGGTAAACTGCTTTATGTTGCTATTTCCAACACGACACCCCAGTACTACATTATTAATTCCCAGCACTGTCTCGCATATTCCTGTCTCACACATCCAAGTTGACCTGATCTTTAATTCCTTCTCTTCCTTAGTGGCTGCAGCTCACCATGTACGCCTAACATCAAGGAGAGCCTTAATCAAGGACCTGCTCCAGATTGCTGTTTTAAGTAATGAACTCCATCCATCCCCCATTACAAATGAGCATTTTGCAAGATTCCTGCTTTGCTCACCAAAGATAAAACATGCGTGAAAGAATGAAGACACAGCCACGCTGCAGCAAGCAAAGCAGTGCTTACTTCCTGTACCTACTGCTGTAGTATCTCCAGGACATTTACATTCAACCACGAGGATTAATTTATTGATGACTATATTTAGGTTTTCCTGCATGTTAAGACACAGAGCATATACCTTAACTCTGTTTATATTGACAGTTGGAAGCACCATCTCTATAGTCAGTACAGATCAGGTAAAACTGGGTCTGGATCTGAACTGTGCAAGTCGAAAGTGTCTTGTAATTAGTAATAATCTTGTAATTAGTCATTAACTCTGGTCATTAACTCTGTTCTGATGTTGTTACTACCATTTCAGCCTTTTCATACCGTTAACTATTTCACTGAGATTGTGCTAATTACATTAATGAGTCATGATCACATGTCTTTACAGCTGTAGCTTTGTGGGTTGATTCTCTGTTGTGCTGGAAAAGTGGGCACCATGCACAGCAGACTGCAGTGTCTGTGTATGCCTTGCTCTTGCCTCAGTAGAAGCAGCAGAACTAAACTACTTGCTCTCATTTTTAGTATCTCCACGCTACCATGCTTGGACATACAATAGTTTTAGAGTGTTGGTTTTTTGGTGTTTGGTTGTTTTTGTTTTTTTTTTTTTTAATTGTAGCCCATTCTCAGTAACATTGAGAAAGTGGCTTTCCGCTTTCAAGGAAGCAGTTCAAGAAAGAAAAAAAAAACCACATAAAGTATACATTAATGACATATGCACACTTATTTGTCTTCAGGGTCCTATTTTTCTTAACTAACAGTTTCTGGGTTCTCTTTTCATCTCAGAACTGCCCAGACCCCAACACAGGCAGAGTACTGAGCACTGTCCCATCATTCTTCTGGAGCTAGAGCAGCTGGTTTTATTACAGACACTTACTGATTTACTTCAGATGCACTGTAAAATGTGAGCTTGATGGGCTTTCAGAACTGGTCAGTGATCAGCACGAAAATGGATAGAAAAAAACAGCAACAACAGAGAGCACGAAGGCCAGACTTTATCAGGAGAACTTCTGAGAGGAAAGCCACTCTCATACACATGGTCACAAGGCAACAGAGGATGACAGGGCTAAAAAGCAGCAGCAGAAAGCAATCTGCTACAGTAAAGCAAAACTACAAAAACAAATCTTAGCATCTACCCAACATTATTCTGATAGTTTGTACATTTAACTGAGGGATCACTAAGAAACACATAAACCTTTTGACTATAGAGTTCTTAATATTATTGTCTTGTACTGTAACTTCCTCTGAAAGAGTAAGAAAGTCATAGTTTATGTAATGAGTTAACCTTTAAGCTCAGCTTTTGTTTTAACCCAACTTAAGTCTCCATGATGACTGGAATACTATGAGCCCCGGGTTCCAGCCATGCATTATCTCCACTACGCTGTTATTTTCCATACAGAAATAAGGCAGATGCTCTTGGTTGGGGTCTTCACAGAAAAACAAAGTCTACCAGTCAAAAGATCTGGATTTTTTGACTGGCAATTGAAACTGGCTCTAAACCTCCCAGTGAGTGAAAAACAGTTCTACAGAACCTCCCTTTGCAACAAGCCATGAAGCAAGCCTGTCTCAGTGCATTGTCTTGTGGCCTCTGTTGGGTGGATGGTTTCCATCTTCCCTGCTGAACTATGACATCTTCAATTCCTGCACCCTGCAAGCAGAAAACTGCATCAGCCCTCTCTGTCAGCAATGAAGCTTGGCCACTGCAGCATAAAACACACAACTCCAGAACAGCCTGGCTGACTTCAGCCAGCCACAAAGGGAACATAATGTTGTACTTTACTGAACCCTGTGAAAGAATCTTTCTATTCCAAACAAAGAAGACTGACAAACTATAAACAATATAAAGAACTTTTATTTTTATTTTCTTTTCATTTTTTGGCTGTGTGAAGTTTCATTATTACACTCACAGTTTCGTACCAAAATGAAAGAGGAAAAGCAAGGTCAATCTGTGCAAATGTTCTACATAGCTTAAGTCATTACTCAACCACGTTGTTTTATTCCACTTTAAAAACTTATCAATATTTGCAGCCAAATGAAATTTGAGAAGCTGGCAGGTGCATATGACAGAATATATACCTACACAGTTTGCTCTTTACTTTCACCATTGAATATTTTACTATTAGCAGCTGATACCGTTTCCTTATCCTTCCTCATATATTCTGCAATTCTGGACAACTTAAGACTACGTTTGAACTATAGTACCATAAAAGCCTGGAAACCAAGATTTATCCAGACCTACACTTTAATTTTAGAGAATGAAAAAAAATCTTTCCAGCACCATGCTTTTATTTCTGGGAACCTACAGTTTGTGAGCTTTCAGTCACTGTTTACCATGATTTAGCACAAGTACATGGTTTGCAAATGTGCAAAAAGACCTGCGCTACTTCAGCGCAGCACAGAGCTGAACTGTTTGGAAGGTCCACAACCACACACCTTAATCAAGGCAAGCAGAAGCTGGGGTATGTAATGCATCTTCATACAAACAGATGCAAGTTTTCCCTCTGGCCCCTTCCAGACAGGGAAGCAACAGCACTAGGCCATGCAGTGCTGCGCTGTCAGTTAGCTATTATTTTTCCTTTGATTTGAAGGAAAATGGAGCAAATAATACCAGTCTAAGCACTGTTTTTTTGATTCAACACGTGAGCATGTCAGATAAAGCTTTGTGGCACATTTGAACTTTTGAAGTGATTATTTTATGCTACTTGCACTCTTCTTTTTGAGCTTGGGTAGGGCTTAATATAAGCACACCACAACACATTTCCCCACTTTTGAAAAGAATGATATCTAACTGGTTTCAGTAAAGCCTCTCCCATCTCCATATTACAAAAGATACATACAGTAGCTCTGAGCACTTCATGCCCATTGAACAAGCAGCTGAACAAGCAGCATCGGACTGCTAAGAAGAGAACAGTGACTTCCACCCACGTTCCCTCAGCATTCTGCAAGTCCAGAGCTCATATCTATCATTTGACTAATGAAATAAAAACAGCTAACCGTAAAAAAAAAAAAAAAAAAAAAAAAAAAAAAAAAATCAACCCTCACTTCACTCACTCTTCCACACCCACAACTCCTTAGTTGCATAAAAACCAAACTCATAACAAAAACAGTCCTGAACACTGGCTTCAGATGCGTAGTGCTGCTTCTCACATGGAAGTTGCCCCACTCATGTTTCACAATGGCCCTTCCTGACCACTCTCTGACCAGAGGTATATCACAGGTCAGAACCCCCAGTTGCAAACCTGGAGAGGATCTCATCAATGGCTGCCGATCTAACACACCAATTTACCATTGCTCTTCTGCAACCACATGTGGAGGAAACAAACAGCCATTAATGGAAGCTGCATTCCCCACAGAAGTCCAAGGAAGTATGTGGAATTTCATATCTGCATGACAACTTCCTAGCAAATCCTGTTAAGATAACCTCATGACAACACAGCACAATATTTCCTCTGAGCCCTTGAGTAATATACATATATCTTTTCATACATAGAAAGCAAAATTGATAAGCACTCATGCAGCTCTGCTATTTTCCTGTCTCTTACCCATTTTAAAGATTCTGAAAATGGATCTGTAACCACCTATGAAGTAGCAAAAGACACCACTGCTAAAGCTGGATTTCTGAAGTCCAAAATTTTGGATCGGACTGTTTTTAAGAACAAAGAAGGAAATATCACTGACTACAAGAAAAGTCTCCTTTTACACCATCTAAAAAAGATCAACACAATAACTAACCAGGAATGCAAATAAAGTGTAATAACTGCCTTTGTTGCAACATTTAGTGAGAAAGATCTCTGCATGTTCCTGAAAACAAAGGCATCAGCTGAGAGCATAAGAATCACCAAGTATCAAAATCTACTTTCACACACAATGTTTAGTGATAGAACCACTCCACATGCTTGTCCTTTGACCACAGAGCTCCATGCCATCACTTCAATCACAACTGATGAAGAATAGCTCAAAAAGCCAATATTGTTTCCTTCCATACTTCTACATCTCCCTCACTGGGGTTCAAAAAAACCTCTTTAATATCAGTAATGGTGGAAATAGTTTAAGTCATATGAAACCCTCTACTTATTAAAAAACCAAAAAAACAAAAAAACAAAAAATATCTCAAACACCCTTGGAGATTCCAGAGCAATAAAGCAGAAAACAATGCATTCCCCCCCCCCTCAAAAAAATACATAAAACTCTCAAAGCTGCCTTGAGTCTAAGTCACATATTGCTTTTATTTCTCCTGTCTACAAACATCTTAATAAAAACAAAAACAAACAACAGCAACAATAAAACACCTCCAAAAAAAATCACCTAAAGAACTACAAAACGCATTGGAACCTCAAGAATTCCTATGTCTGAAGTAGGATTCTCTTGTATATTGTTCCTACTTTATTCCTGTCTTTCTCAAGAAAAAAAAAACATCAATGTCAAGCAAATACAGAGGAATTATGCTTGTGCAATAACACAATATTAACACTGTGTGCTTCAGAGAAGGCCCTGAAGTCCCTTGATTTGATAGCAGAGCTGAACATCAATGGGCCTCCTTCAGTCAGTCTTGGCCTAAAAAGATTCTGTTGCAGTCAAAGAATGAAGCTACAAAATACATTTGGTCTATGGATAGCATAGGAAGTCTAGAATGGATGATTAAAGAGATATCCACTGAAAGCAGTACATTCACTTTGAAAAGCATTGGATATGCTTATAAGTGACTCAGTTTTGACAGTGGAATATCTTTATCTTCTGCTACATTTTAAGGAGACTCCTGCTTTTTTTTTTTTTTTAAGCAGAAGGCTAGTCAAACACCAACAAAAAGGTTTTTGGCAGATCAGTTTCATTGTTTGAGAGACTTCTTCGCCAGATTCATCTTACTTTAAAAAGCATCACGAATGCAAAAGTTCAATTTCACTGAACACGATAGAAAAATGAGGTCAAGTCTGCAACCCTAAGAGACAGCAGCAGAGGCACCTGCACAAGTAGAGACTCTTCCACTCTGCACTGGCTTCCCTGTGTCCATTATGTACATCTCTGGAAACAAGATAATTTTTTTTTCTATTAAACATGCATTTTGTATCCCCAGCTTCTGCTTGAGAATTTTAGACTTAAAAATCATAGAATCCTGTTGACTTTTTGTGAACTTAATACAGCAAATTAAGCCAGTTCACAACAGAAACAAAGTAACACTAGATCTAAATTCTTCTACTTTATAGTGACTTTGAACTTCTATTTGTTTGCTTTGTAATAAAGATACAGGATTATGGAATTCCAAAGGAATCACATAAGGAATCCAACTCTAGTGATGTATCAAATAATAGTGGTTACACTGAGAAACAAAAGCTGATACTGGTTTCTCCCTTCCTGCACATTAGGACCTACGAGAGACTAAGATTGAAAGGGATGAGAGCAGAGCTGTTCTGCTGCTGCTCGCATACCTGTCAAAGGACTGCTTTCCTCCAAAGAAAACACCAAAACACCTCAGGAGGTGTAATATTTAGGGTAGCCTGTCACCATATATATTGTGGCAATTATAGAAATTTTTTAGACAAAGATTAAAATATAAATTACAGTTAACGTTAAAAAACTCATTCCAGTTCTCCATAAAATACCATTTCTTTTTATGAAGAAAGCCAATATGTATTCTGGATACACTGCCAGATTTTTTGATGTTCTGGTTTGCAGATTTTTATTAAAATCAGCAAAAATAGATCTAATAAAAACAGGCATGTTTTAGTTAGACACTTAACAGGTTTCAAGCTGAGTGTGTAAATACCAGCACCCATCGTCATCTAACTTCTCAACACCCCTCTGCACTTCCCAAACATTCTCAAGAACATACTTCATAAAAGAAGGCAGATGGGGGGGAAAATAGTCTTATTTATCAACAAATTGAAAACTTGACAGAATCTTACATTTGGGCCACTTCTTAAGTGACCAGCCTTATGTCTACAGCATGTAACATAACCTTCAGCTCTGTAGCAAGGCTTTTCAGCTCCACTTCCTTTTTGCATTCCAAGTAGTAAAAGCAAGAGAAAAGACTGGAGTAAGAAACTGATGTTATTTGGAATAATCTTGACATGAATTACTTCCCAATGTGGGAGGTGAAAAGTTTCATGAGTCAACCCTGCTGTCATCCTCAGCATGTCTTTCAATGTGTCCCACAGCATCCTAGAAAAGAAACAAAAGTCAGTGAAAAAAAAAAGACAAAAACTAAAAGATTCTATAAGCCTCAGTAAAGGTGACACTCCGGATAAAATAAATTTTTGGCATAAGCCTTCTTAAGAATTAATACCAAGCTATTATAATTTACATAAAATCTTGTGCACCACGTTATTCAAAGAAAACAGAACAAGAGCTTCCTTTCTGACAGGAAAGCCTTACCAGGTAAATGCATCCTATCTAAGGAAAGTGCATAAACTGAAATTAAGTACTCTACTTCTGTTTTTCAGTTCTAAAAGAAGCTTTCTTCTATTGTGTATTATCAAAAGCAGTCAACAGAGAGGCACAGTATATTGCCATAGAGTAAAGCATGGATTTTACATATCAACATAAATGGCACAATCTTCCTACTCCTCCTCTTTCCTCATGACTTGATCAAGCTAGACTCCAACTCTCAAGCCTTCTTCAGTTTTTACATCTGTTCTGGCATTAACATAGAATGTTACAATTGCACAGACTGTTACCAAAACCAGTCTCCAGCAAAGAGTACACAGCAACAGTATCCACAGAAATTGCATGTACAGATAAAAGTTAAATGAATATACTTCAAACTGATATTTGTTCATCTTAAACAGTAAACTATACCACAAAAACTTAACATCTTAAGTATAGTTACCAGAATTTCTTGTGGCATTTCAAGAGTTTTACCACTTCCATGTAAGATTTTAAACCAAACTATTTTAAGTTTACCATATCTCAAGTTATACACCAGTGCACTCCTTACCTGTTACAAGCTGAACCCTGTTAGCCTTGTATGGTTTAACTACATTCAGTTAGGCTATTAAGAACAGAAGATTAATCTTTAAGAGAAGTAGAAGTCCCATAATTGTGTTGACAGCATGTACTTCATATTTAGGTGTGGGAGTTTGGGGTTTTTTTTTTTTTGTTTTTTTTTTTTAAATCTTTCTAGTATAGTACCAAAGTACCAAATACAAACTTGAATCAAATACCTGCTTGGAACCTTTCCTGGAAGTAAAGAAAGCATCACAGTTCTTCCAACGACATTTTAAGGTCTGAAAATTTGGGTTGGTGTGGTCAGTTAGCAAGTGTTGTTTCAGGTGGTCAACAACTCCAAAGATCAGTGAACATCCATGCCACTGGTAGAAAAAAAAAAAAAAAAAAAAAAGCATACCCAAAAATCACCCAGGGGAAAAAAAAGTAGTTAATCCCTTTATTCTTGCAACTCAACAATATTCAACAAGGATTGTTCTCACACATGCCTCCTTTAACTTCTTAATGTTCTTATTCCATACATTCTCAGTGGACTCTCTTCATTCAGTTATAAGTCTGAGATTTTTCCTGCTTCTAGTCATCATTCAAGATCATCAGCAAGAATGGGTTTAGGAAAACAAGGCCTTGCCTTTACAGAACTTCAGCTTTCCAGAGACAGAATCATTGTTTTGTTGGTTTGGTTTTTTTCCTGCTCTTTTAACTATTTTCATGACACTATCTAAAGATCATCCAAAAGAAAAATAGTTCGAAGATGCTACCATTGACTTGCCCCCAAAGCATGAGAAATGCAACTAACAGTATATACTCAAAGTGATATTTAAAAGATTGAACTGTAATACATCAAAGGTCAAGCTACCCAAGGTTGAATAGTGACCACCTCTAGAAATCAGTATAAAAGCTATACCAAAGAGAGGCCAAAGATGTTTTGCTCATTACCCAGCAACGATAGTTCTGCATCAGATTAAGCCTCACAGCTCTGACGCTGCCATCATAACATCCAGTGTAGATCTGTAAAAGAAGTATTTATGAAGAAAAAAGCTGGGAATAGAACAAATGAAATCAAGTTTTGAAGAAGGTTTCAGGGTAGAATATATTAGATGTAAGATTCTTGTAGTCATACATTATTTAAACCAATAATACAGAGAACCATACAAGCTGGAAGTTTTATTTATTTCAAGTCCTTCTGCCTATTGGAAATGCATCACTAGGATATAACAGCGAATTTGCTGTGGGTGACAGACTACAACTTCCTTTTTTGACTACCACAGAAAATTACTGTCCTTCATTCCTCAATAAAGCCACTTATCTGGATGCTTCTTTGATTTCAGAATGCCCAGAATGGATTATTACAGCAGGACTACTCAAGTTTCAGACTGAGAGGACAAAGCTTGGCTGCACTTAGCTCTCCATCTCTCTCATATGAGAAGTGAAGCTTGGGCCATAGGTATTCCAATACATAGATCAATTCTGTTTTTACAGATAATGACCATGACCTTTTAACATATCCTATAAGCTGAAAGTTAGCAAACAAATTCCTACACATCATGCAGATAAGTACTTTTACTGACTATTTTATGTAAATATTTATCCAGAAGTGTTTCTGAACTCTACCTTGCCTGAAGAAATAAGTCTGTGCACTTAACACAAGTGCTTATCTTTGTGTAAGCTCTTACGAAAGCTACCCATTCAATAATATTACACAAACACAAGGCTGCTGTAACAACTTGATTTTTTGGCTGACATTTGTGAATACCTCTGCCTTAGCTGAAGAACAAATTCATTTCATTATCTGAGGAAAAAATAAAGTTGTCTAAATGCTTTCGGAAAATACAACTTCCTATTTGAGATCAGTGAGAAGAGGGAAGTTACCATGCTCTTATGGATGGTCATGCACATGATCATATCTGAATGGCCTCCATAAACTTGCAAGCGGTCATGTGACTTGAAAGAAAGAGAAACAGACATTTACTGGCACAATAGTTAACAGTTATTTTTCACAGACATGCAAGTGACAATGCTTCCAAAAGCAGTTTCCTAGGTAGCAATCAACACTCCACCCAGTGGATATTCCAAGTTCTGTAGGCACAATGAAAGCTCTCTATTTTCCATTACTTCTGTGATTCCTTCTGTTACGTTTGATCTTTCAAGAAGATGAAGTCACTTTCCCACTTCTTTGAGCTGAAATTATCATTGGATAATAATAGTTGAGGTTATGCTCTCTTAAAGCTCACGCATTTTGGCCGCAAATTCTGAGTGGGCCAGAGACCAGTAAGCACAAAGATGACTTCTCGAAATCATTTAACACATTAGGTAGATTTTATTAATAACCATCTATACTCTTACCTGTAGTTCATAAACACGAACAAATTTATCGAGGCATGCTGTTACCATCACTTTCCCCAGAATGTTCACAACCGTTACTGCGTGGTTATGACCTTTATAGATCCGTACCAGTTCTCCAGTCTGTGCCAAGAACAAGGAGAGCCAAGCAGCTTATCATTTTTAGTGAAACAAAACTGTTTTAGTTTCACTTTGAATTGCTAGCTTCAACCCTCACCAATCACAGAACAGATATATCCTTTATTAGACTTCCATTTCTTACAAAAGCACTTACAGATTATGATAAAGAATATTTTCTTTGCTTAAGTTAACAAGGAGTCACTGCAGCCCAATAGAAATGCACATCACTATGAGAAATCTACTTCCCCTCTTTCCATTATTATCTACATGTTCCCATCTACCCTGCAATTGGTACCGTGTTGATCAGTACCAGTATATTTATGTAGCCACAAGGACCATTGAGAAAATTTAGCTAAATACACAGAAATATACTTTTTTCCCTGTCAATTAACTGAAAATGTGGTAAATTTTAGTCTCATTCATTGCATGGCTACAGAAACCCTTTCCACATTATCAGTAGCTTTGTAGAAATATTCACAAACACAAGAGGCCCTGATAAAAGGGTGTTATATACCATATTGAGTGAGTCAACACATTTAGCGATGTTTCCTAAGGTATTTTACCCCATGCATCCCCCCTTTACGGTAGTGCATAGTCACATTAACTAAAGAACAGAAACATATGGTTTTCTTTCCTGAAGGTTATTTTTTTCTACCACCAGTCATAATTATTTACAATATTGACATTGTAGCACAGGTTTTCACTGCCTTAACAGAAGTCATTCCAGCTTTATAGAGAAAGACTTACATGAATGTTGTGGGCGTGGACAGACTGGTCACTGGAACCACTGAACACCAGATCATTCACAACCTTTCAAAAAAAAAAAAAAAAAGTGTTATTTCTACTCACTTCTATGTAATAACATGGAAATAGCCAAATGAAACATTCTGATAAAAGTTCAGAACATTCTGATTCATGATTGAAGTTGCAAAATAATATTTCCCGTATCTGACAGATAAGAAAAATCAACCAAGTACAAAAAAACACACGCACCAAGTTAATTGAGAGCTAGGAAGTATATTAAGCTATCCTAATGATAATTTGATACTTCACAACTGACATTAGAAGCCCACCAGGCTAATTTATCCTGCAGGCTACTCTCTGAGGGCTAGCTGAGCTCCAGATCCAGGACCAAGTGAACCAAATACAGAATGCTGTTCCCACATGCACGATAAAACCTAATGCTTCCTGTTACTGCTGAATCTGCTGTGTGCTTTTGTTATAGAAGACAGTGTTTCCAACAAGTATCAGTCTAGAAAGGATGCTAAACAGTTCCACCATGGATCAAGAAGGAGCCACAATACACTGACATGCACGCTGGACTAGGGCAGAGAGTTCACAAGGAAAAACACAGCATGTCAGTGAACCATATCCAAGACAACAAGGACTGCGTATGGAACAGTCATCCCCTATTTATAGATGACTGTGGTTAGAGCAAAGCAGCCAGACAAGCATATACAACCACTTCAGACAATACTTTATTGTTTGGGCTGATGTAACGTAACCATCAAATGGGCAGGCTTATGTCATTCATAATGACAAATTAAAACAATCTTCTTAACATGAATAGAGTCATTCAATCTGAAATGCAATATATGCCACTTGAAGACTGTTTATTGACAGGAAAGCTGGCTCTGGCTATACCAGTAACAGAGTCCTTTTAGTAGTATCCTGAAATTATGTCCACATTCAGCAGCTCAAAAATTTCAAGCCTAGACTTAAGGAAAAAAATTATGCAAAAAGCATTTTTTAGTTCAGAATAAATAGTGATTCTTTTACTGAAGGATAGTTTTCTAGATACTTTTTTTTCCAGTTTCCTGAGAGGTTTCTACAATTAAGGTATGTGAAAACTAGCTTCACCTTTTTACCAACTTTTCCTCCATTCTTTCATTCTGAGGATCTCACACTTCAAGATTCCCTAAAATTGTTTAATAAGAAGAAACAAATGTGCTTCCTACAAACATAAACATCAGCTTCTACAGCACGATGACAGTTTTCCTATCAAACCATTGTTATCTTTTGAAATGGAGAAGGCATCTCTTGTCTACCACAATCTACTAATTATTAGATGAAGGAAAAAGATGACAGTATACAGCAAAAGAAAGCTATGACAGTGCCTTCAAATGGGACACAGGCAATACAGAGCAATAGCAGGTAATAAGGAAAATTGGCTGACCCCTTATGATGACAGTAATAGCTCAAGAGGAGCAAAATCCCTATTCACAGAGATGCTGTTCCCTCGACTGCTAACCCTTAAAAATGAGGGTGAGGAGGGGTGGATCCACACTCCACCCCTTCTGGTCACTCAGGTAAGTTGCTTGCAACTGAGCACCTTGAGTTAGCCACACCTTCTCACCTGGTGCTCAACTATTGGTTCAGGCTGTGATCTGGGAATTCCATTGCCCAGTTCTAAGGATCCTTTGTCAAAAAACATTTTCAGGAAACACTTGCCTTCATGCAGAGTATAGTTTTGCTGTGACCTTCAAGAGTTCTGAGAAGCAACCCATTCCGCGCATCTCGTACACTGATGGTGCAGTCATAGGAGCCCACTACCAACAGCTTGCGTGCTCCTTCCTGAGCTGTGGCCAAGCAGCTCACTGCTCTAGGGCTGTGGCATTCAAAGGTATCAACTTTCTTGTTGTTCTGTTGGAGTGGAAAAATTGGTATTTAAGAACTAAAACTTTGCTATGACTAACTAGAAATTAAGTTTCCAAATCAAGGAAGTAATTCCTTTAACTGGGCTTTAAAACAAAACAAAAAAAGTGATTAAGGAAAAGCCCGGTAAATCCCCCTTCAGAGTTAGAAAAAGGAGAGCAAAAAGCATTCATTGAAAAAAAAAACACAGAGGTACATGTATCAGCTTTCAAAACTTATTAATGAAACCAAAACACCAGACTAGTTAAGAGAAAAGCAATTGGAGAATAGGGGAGAAGGGATAAGAAAGATTAAGAAGGACTAAAGTGACTATTTATATCAAAATACCTAAGTTACAAATACACATATTACTCAAGAGAAAGGACAGAAAGAAAAACGAAGTTGAAACTGCATTGGAGTGGGCTTTTAAGTGCCAATATTCAAACAAACCAACCTTTATGCTGAATGTAACCACACTGCCATTTGCAAGGCCTGCGTAAAGGATCCGCCATCTGCTGTGTAAACAGAGCACCCGATCTTCCAGTTTAAACTGTTCCATGCATTCTTTGGTCTGACAATAGAAATAATTACTTAAAGCTTTTCATCAACTGAAAACAGTTCAGAGACAAAAAAAAAAAGTCTGGAGTGAATGACGATTTTCACCTAAGACTACATTTTTTGAACTAGCAGAGCTGAAGAAAAACATCTCAATACCTGGTGTCACCCAGCAGTCCGATCCTGTTGTTTTTTGTTTTTTGGTTGTTTGTTTTTTATCTGCTCATTCCTATATTTGGGACTTGATGGTACTTAAGCAACTAGCTGTAGTATCTATAGCACTAAAAGATTTCTTCTAGCCACATATATACTGGCTTAGAGTAGGTATATGAAAAACACCCTGTTACAAGCTTGAGTTCAAGGAATACCCATGAAGTCCTCCACAGGAACATGCCATGAATCATCATCTGAAGTGTTAAAAGCATCTGGCAGTTTACTCCCAAAAGCAGATATTTACCTTCCAGTCCTTAAATCTAAGAGGGCTGCCCTGAAAGTAATGCCTCCTATTTTACGTTAGCCCACAACATCAGAGGCATTGGTGGTTGGCAATAGAGGCAAACTACCCAATATTCCATTACATTCTGTTGCCTTGCGACAGATGACAGCAGAAGAGCAGTCTGACAATATGATGCCTGACATGAAGTGCATATGAAACACAGGTGTCACTGATTTCCCACATACGGAGAAAATGGCACCCACAGACATTCACTGATGCTTGCTGAACATTTATGGAGATCAAACAGAGGATGTGAGCACAGTCAGGCTGCAAGTGCTGCATTTCAGCAGTGGTAACAGGAAGGTGAAAGACAAGTCACATTCCAGAAGTCCATGCATAGCTGTCACCTCTACTGGTGCTGGTTTTTATAAGCATAGGATGCAGGCTCTTGTTTATTACTGGAAAAAATGCACAGCTAATGGTGTTGACTATCTTCAAATAGAGTTTTGCAGATGAACATTCGCTCTATCAAATCACAATTAGTATTATTGTGCCCTTTGCATCTGCTCTAATCTCCGCTGAAATAATTGGAAGGCATTACTTTTGGAGTGATGAGCGTACATGTAGAACAAGCCTTCCTACTGTTTATCTTTCTAATTCCAGCTTCAAAAATCCTCAGCCTTCTGTGCCTGTTCTATCAAGAGCTGTTCTGTAAGGAGAACTACATTTTATATCAGAAATGAAATTAGAGATAAAGTGAATTCAAAATTCAGACAACCATCCCGCACATTTGCATTCCCAATGAGGTCTCATCATGCTGTTCTGACAAGGAGTCCACTGATAAACCAAGAGATTACCTTTTTTTTTTTTTTTTTTTTTCATTTTTTTCTTCCTGCTTTGCTCTAATGAGGTATGAAGTAAAGCTCATGTATAGCTCACCAGGTTTTAAATGACTTATTTCATTTATATTTGCAAAGAGTCATTGCGTAACAAAGCAGTACATGTTCATCAACACAGAATTGAAGTACCTTGATATTGTAACAGTTGATGGTGTGATCACTTGAGCCAGTGTAAAGCGCAGCATTCTTCCCATTTGTCTGAGTGACTAGGAGGCAGTTCACTTTTGAAGTATGTCCCTCAAAGACAGCCACACACTTCCTGCTCTAGAAAGCAAAGCATATGGTCCATCACACTAAAGGTCTGCAATACCTCTCAGGATCCATGCCTGACAAAGTAGGATGGAGCAGCTAATAAAAACAGCAGGACCTGCAACAAATGCCTTTTACCCCTCCTACAAGATGAAGGGGAGAGAAGAGAGACTTGAAGATAGAGTAAAAAAAAAAAAACTCGCTCAAAAAAGCACTCAAAGCAGCTATCTCCTTAACTACATAATGCTTCACAAGCATACAATTGCAACCTTGTGATTGGAACTATTCTTACACCATTGTCACAACCTTACTTACAACCAGATTGTAGGCACAAACTGTTTTGTCTGCTGAGCAGGTGTACAACAAATTCCCAAAAATCTGAATAGCATTCACTGCAGCCAGGTGTCCTTCAAAGCTCCCCTCTGTAGGTTCTTCATCCTCACCTGGCTCTGAAGACACTTCTGTAGAATAGAGACGCACATTCTTTGATTACGTGAAGAAACACAAACATACTACTGTTTTTTTGTGGGTTTTTTTGTTGTTTGTTTGTTTTTTTTCCTTTCTCCCCACCAAACACTGGAACTATTATGTAGGCTCAGCATCTTTATAGATTTCACTGCAGTTCTCAGCTGGAGTCTGTAAGTGTCACAATACAACATAAACCTGAAGAGTCTTCATATATCAAATCCAGAGAGATCTTTAAAAATAGCAAGAGGATTGTATTATTGTCTGTCCCACAGCCTCACAGAAATTGTGTAGAAGGTCTGTTAATGGGGGATGGGGTAGCAAAGGCTCAAGGCACAAAGCTCTCAGTGAGTGATGATGCACGTGAGCATGCTTCACTTTTAATGCTTTAAGTGTACTTCATCTTCATAGCTAAATTCCTCTGGCAGCAGCTTAGTCTAGACCTGACTTCAGTTCTTGCAATCTATGATACACAAACTACAAGAACAGCTTAAAAGATATACCTGATGAGTTCTTTGATCCTCTTAGTGATGATATAGAAGCCTGTGTGTCAGCCACACTGTAACAGAAATAAAGTAGCAAGATTGGATTCTGCTTGCTCATTTTCCGATAAGTTATTGGTATAAGTAGTACTCCAGAACACAAGACTCTGCACTAAGCAGAAAATTGTCTATAATAGGTTAAGATAAAAAATATTTTCCATGCAGCAGGACCACGTTCCAATTGTTAGAGAAACTGGCAGACAACAATGTACATTTGTTAGTTGGATTAAAGAAGCAAATTCAATTTACAACATACAGACAGGCACATTTTCCCTCAATTTTAATTTCCAAACAAAATTAAGAATTACTGATGTAAAACTTTCTCAACAGGAAAAAAATACATCTTACAAGCATCATTTAATGCTTTTACTTTTGAGAAATCTAAAACAATCTTACCTTCTTTTCGTATCATCCCTATAACTTGTGCCAATCTCACTGGTAGAGCTCACTTCATCATAACCTGAGCAAGATGCCTCTAAGACTGCTTGGTCCACAGTGCTGCACAACTCTCTCTTTGATGGACTATCTGGTTTCTCATCTCCTGACTCTGATGAACCAACATCAACCACTTCACACTGGGGCACTGCAACTTCCACTAGTTCCAAAGAAGCATCACTATCATTCTCATCCTTGTTTCTAGCTGCTTGAACAGCAACACCATCTCCTTGTTTTTGAGGAGTTGATGTTGTAATTTTTTCTCCCTTAGAAACTTTTCCACTCTTGACCTTCCGGGTAGGCTTACAGTCAATTATATCCTGTTCTGTGTCACTGTTTTCTGGCACATGAGCTGCCCTCAGCGTTTTCTTTTTTCTTAACTTTCTTCTCCTTCTGTTTCCCTTTTCTGCTGGGACTAGAGTGTTTGCTGCCTGTTGTTCCGATGGTTCTGCTGACAATCTGGGAGTTTTATCCATTGGCATTTCTAGAAGGACTGAACGATCTGGAAGCAAGGTGCTACACTGATCCAGTAAAAAGCTTTCAGTCACTCCATTTGCTTCTCTTTTGCTGAAAGTAGACAGCGAAGGAGAAGGATTCTCCAAAAGTCCAGCCTTTCCCCTATCCACAGCAGGCTTGTGAACTTCTTGACTAGTGTGCTGGAAACAAGCTGTCAGCTCTGATAGGGATATGGTTGCAGAGATAACCGGATACACTGATGTTTTTTGGATGATTTCTTCTGAAGAAAAGAGACTAGTGTTATATTCATTCTCTAAGATGCAAAGCTTGCTTTCCCTGCAATTTTTCGTTTATAATTAAATGTGCATGTAAAGTACCGTAACACTGTAACGCTATGGAAAGCACAGCAATGACAGTGCAGTAGCAAAGTCCTAGGCTGCAGTAAATGAGGACATGCTCAAATGTGGCAGCTGTGGACAGAGAAACAAAGGAAAGAATCTGCTTACCCTAGGAAGGCCTTAGGTATGCGGGAATTTTCAGCAAGATATGCTTGCCTCCAGTACAAACATTTAAATGAGGTCTGGAAAGGGGTGGAGCCACAATGTAAGCTGCATTGCACACAGCTATGCTTCACTGGGTTGGCCCTGACTTCCCACCAGGTGCTTAATCTCTGTTTCAAGCCCATGACTTAACATTTCTGCTACAAGTATATATTCCTGTATCTTGAAAGGATACGTACACATGCACATCTGCTCTTCCAGTCAGCTATTCGGTCTTTAAAAAATGCCACTGGGAAATAAAATGTTTACTTGTGTACAAGAATCAAAGCAAGGGGGCAAAAGATTCAAGACTAATGTGCTTCAGCTGCTCAATGGGAGTTCACTCCTGCACAACAGCCTGCAGGTTTGTCACCTAACTGGCTTATTCTACAGAAAAAAGCAAAAGAATTTCTTGCATTTTCATAAAGCTACCCCTTAAGAAAAGAGCCACACATACCATCCTTCTGTGCTACCACTTCTGTTCGTGAAGCACACAGAGAGCTCTGGAGTACAGTATTCACGTTTTCTTCTGAGGCTTCCAAAGACACAGGTTCTCGTTTAATTTGTACTGAGGAGTCCGGAGGAGTGGTGAATGTGATGCCAGAATGGAGTGGTGTTGATGTGTCTATGTGAACAGCAGTTCCCAGTGGAGGTACAGACAAAGTGTCCAAAAGGGGCAAGAAAGAGCCTGCAGGAAGCAAATCAGCTGACACCTGAGATTCACTGTTTCTTCTCTCACTTGAGACACTACTGGGGAGTTGCTCTGACAGTTCAGAAGGTTCATATGTCTCTAATGGTAAAAGAGAAGAGGAAAAACAAAAAAAAAAGTCAGCGGTGTCAAGAGATAATTTCTGACAGATAGACAAGAGAAAAATTTGCAAGAAATCCAGTAGATCCAGCACTACCAAAGGCAACATATCACATCTGAACAATAAAGAGTTCACTGTGAAAAGCCTAAAGTTTGTTGTACTATTTACAAGCACAATTTTTACTAGACACTGAGTTCAAAGAATGAGTCAGTATTTCAGTGCTATTGTTTCACAGTATCTCATACCTTGTAGGCCTTGCAAGATCTGGATCCTCTGGCTTCTCAGTGCACTCATTTCCATGGTTATCTGCAAAACAGGAGGTTTTTAATCACTTCTATTAATGGTAGTTTCTCAGGCTGCTAACTTCTAGTTCTACCAGTCTCAAAAGCCTACTGTTACCTGTTGCTTTAACACAAGGAACCGTTGAACCTCAACATATGCAGCCTGCAGGGCAGCTCTAGCCTGCAAGAGACTATTGTCCACGCTATGCAGGGACTTGCTCAATTCTTCTTCCCTCAGTGAAATAGCCAACAACTGGTCTACTTGAGAACGTTCTGGAAAAAAAGTCAGCATAATTTAGCATATAATGGTACTTGCAACACATTAAAATACATGACAAGTATTACCTCAAATATTATCACTTCCAAACAAACACATGAATTAGGTAAAGTGTTAATAGTTATGCAAGAGACTTAAAAGCATCTGTGCACAGGAACAGTCACTTATTACATAGCAGAACAAGAATAATTCTCTTCAAATGATCTCAACTTTGACTGCAGTAGCTTTTTTTTTTTTTTAAGTCAGTTTTTCCAGCACTGAACAGAAAGTCACCTTCTTCCAAAACGATCTTCTACTGAAGTATATTTACACAGGAAGTACAAATTCATACTTTTCAGTAATGTAATAAAAAAAGGCAAAGACAAATTTAAACTAAACATTTAAATTATTCAGCTAATTCAGAGGTCAAGAAAAGGTGGGTAAGACTAAAAGACCTCTATGACATTTACTAATCAAAATAGCATCTCGGCTGCGAGATTTGTTTACAATCTCCTAACAATCTGCAAGCACTGTTTTCAATAAATATTCTTTTTTAGAGGCCCTCTGGCATTACAGACACGCTCCAAATCAATCAAGTTTCAATTTGTGCACTCCTCAGCTTTTTTCAAGTTAATTTCTTTCAATAGATTTACTACAATGATATGGTGATAGAACCAAGCAATACAAAGCAAATCCTTCCACACATTGAATTTTACTAGTCACCCAGAAGCCAGGATTCCAAACAAGGATGGAAAGAGAAGAGACCCAAACATTTCAGGTTGTTCTAGCTCTAATTCTGTAGGTCTTACAGACCTGACAAGAGTCTACCCTATGACCCTGAGCAAGAGCCAAGACACACCAATGTAACACTGAGGAACAGTCACTACAGCCAAGTCAGAACACTACTAGGCATTTACAATCTCTACCCTAGACATACATGCACATAATAGTCACTCACCTTTTTTACCTTTGATTTTTCTTCTTTTATTCTTTCTTTCCAGACTGGGGATTTCAGGAGAGGATCCTTCCTACAAGTAAGATCTCTTGTTAACAAAAGACACTACGGCAAGATTGCCTAAATCAAGACGACAAACATCCACTCTTATCTCAAGGAGCATCATTCCTAACCGCGGGAAAGAATATGTACAGTTCTGCGCATTCTTATGTAACTTGTCCTTCCCTCTCTTCTTAAAAGTGAGAATGAAACAAAGTGAGTGCCATGTTTTCATCTCAACTAACATGAAATATTAAATAAGCAGTCAGCTTTCAACATGCTTAGATTCTCAAGACCATACTTGGTTCAGATTTTCTGTTTAATAGATTTAGTTGACAATCTAAAGGATGAAATTACTGAGGAATTTAAATTCTCACATCCTGCATTTAGCAAATCCATTCTGATTAATTTGTTCAGAAGCATCTATTTTACTTTGTGTAAGACTAAGACAAGGCAATTAAACATTCAGATGGAGAAATTTCTGGCTTAGAGACAGATAGGCTATCATCTTCAATCTTTTTCTACCTTATTTTAAGTGTTTGGTTTTGTAAAGAGGATTGTCTTCCCTTGTTTGACCATAAGACCTGAAATGTCTAAGAAAACAAAATGTCTACTACATTTTAGCTTTCATTTCAGTTTTACAAAACAAAAGATCCTCACTGCAACTCTAACTACTTTCATGGAAATATTTTAACAGCTTATTTACTAGCTTATCACTGAATCAGAACTGAAGAGCATCTGTAGTTTCTACTAATAGAAAAGGACTAACCAAAAATCTTGTGCTAAAAAAGCTGAAATTGAAAATATTTAAATACAATTACGTCAAATAAGCAAGATAAACCTATTAACATACAAGGCAATAAGACAAAGAGAAAGTCATCTTTCTAGGATGGGATATATACCTGGGAAATTACATTTTTAGCACACCAAAACTGCACAGAACTGTACACTTACTCCTGTCGCTCTTCGTTTCTTTCCAATTCCTTGGCTGTCATTTTGCTCAGTACCAGAAGTGTAGCTACTGTCCGTTGCTGCATCTACGTTACTAGACACTGCAAGAAGTACATCACTTGAAGCCAGAGGATTTTCTTCTGAGATTTCTAACACATTCTGTTTTTCAAGAAGAGATGTTCTCTTGTCTAGACTGTCTTGCTCTGCTTTTGTGAGGCCAGCGAGCTCAGAACTAGCCTGTAGGCTTTGTTTCTTTCCAGGGGTCTCAGTTCTTTCAGATATAAATGGTGACAAAGAAAGAGAAGAGGTCTCCTGTTTCAAGTCAGCTTCAATGTCAACACTTGCCTCGTATCCAGATGTTATATCACATAGGTGTCTGTCTGCAACTATTTGCCTTTCCTCACGTTCTTTTGCTTTGGGTTGTTCACTAAAAAAGCTGTAAGCAGAAGGGTGTCTGTCTGCAATGACACTGCTTTCAGAAAAGCTACGTTTTCTGGCTGATCCAGGCACTGCTAAGGAAATCCCTTCCCACTGGAATCCTTCCAGAGTAGACAGATCAGATTCTTCACCAAGTTCTAGACTCTCTTGATCATTTTGAACGAGAGGCACCATTTCTATACCAAACCTTCAACAAAAAGAAAAAACCACGTGTGTAACAAATTATTTGAATCTAAAAAAACCAAGAAGACTCCCCTTTTCCTAGCTGCATGTTACTGTTTGAAAAGATGAGCAACTCATTAAACTGGTATTCTGCAGTTTATGCCTCATGTAGCAAAGCAGTATCTTCTGTGCATCACAAAAAAACACATTTTGTTGCTAAGAACTGACAAGACAATTTCCAAATCATGAAAAGAATCTTCATTAGCTTTTAGAATTTTGAAATTTGAAGATCTGTTCATCACTCAAACAACATTAAAGCTGATACCTTTGCTCCTCAGTGTCTTATAAAGCTCAACTCTAAAGCAAAATCTCAAAAAGAAGCAAAACATATCATTTTCAGAACTACCTGTAATCCAGTTTGGTACTAGCAAAGATTACATATTTTCAAGAGTCTGCAAAACCTTCAGGCCCTCTATGAGGCTTAAAGCATTAACTATTTTACAGTCACTCTAAATACAAACACAAACTGCTTATCAGATTAAAACAGATAAATATCTGAAAAGGAAACATTTATTCTGTCTGCAACAACTCAAGCAAACTCAATTTTTGTAGTCCTGAGTGCATGAAGTAATTGCAACAGTGCTGTTCACATCCTCATTATGTTTTACATACTTCCATTTATTAGAACCTGAAATGCAAGTGTGTTCCTAGTGTCATATATGTCATGACGTCACATTCAGGTATTAAGCCATTATTACGAGCTGATCAGAGTCTGTTCTGAGCAGCAAACTCCAGTCACTTATTTGTGGACAGACTGCCACAGAAGCAATAAAAAAAATTCCAAGTACTTGTATGTGCAAAAAGATGGTTGTGTAAAATGCTCGATTATAAAGTCTTCATTTTAGCATTTTGAAATTCACCTAAGATGAGGTGAAAACAACCCACTCCCTTAAACACACACACAGTCACACTAGAAAGCTACCAACCTTGGTAAACCTTTGCCAAGCTCCTGTTTCTTCTTTGATACCTGCTGGATGACTTGATCCCAGTTTACATTTCGCCGGGAAGCACTAAGAATCTGCCTGAGGGTTGGTTTAAGGCCCGATTCTTTCTCAGCCTCACTTCTCCGATGGCCACTTATATTCCGAATGCGCCGTGCGTTATTGAGATTGGGCTCTGGAAGGTGTATTCCCACTTTGCTCTTCAAACTAATATGTCGCGTCAGATCTCTTTGCAGAGAGGCTGGGAGGCCAAGTTTGCTTAAATCAGGAAGGAGGCCTAGTGATTGACTTCCTCCCTTCTGCAGCTCATGGTCTGAATGATTTTCAAAACCTTCCACCTCAAAGCGACCGCCTGACTTGACATGCTCTTCATTCGCTTCTTTCTCCTGTGAGGAGATTCTCAAACCCACATGCAAGTGATCCTGACTGTTTGATGAAGAAACTGTGGATTCCATCTGAAATGCAGAATCTTTCAGATCAGCAGATGCAATGCTTGAAGCAGATGGCTTTTCATCAACATCCTTTTCAGAGGCAGCAAGTTTGCCTTCTGGAGTGTCACAGGGTAAACAAGAACTAACAGAAGGACTCAGTTTTTCAGCTCTTATTTCTAATTTCTCTCTTCCTGTTAACTCATCATCACTCACATCTTCCAATGAATGTAGTCTGAACTTGTTCTTCGGTGACGCTTTCCCAGTTCCTTCCATATTCTGATCACTTGTATTCTTGCAAGAGTTTAAGGGAGGACTTTGTAAGGAATGGTTGGACTGAATATCTTTGGGTTTTCGTTCTGCTTCACCTAAGTTAATAGCAGGTTCCCCAACATTACTGCTAAGTGCGTCTTTGTTGCTTCCTTCTAAGTTATCAGCAGACAGACCACGCAGCTTTGATGAATAAGAAGGTAAATTGTTAGCTTCCAGATTCAATGCTTTCAAACAGTTCTGTTCTTTGCTATTAGGTGAGGACAACAGAGACTTAACATTTTTTAACAGACTTTTGGTGTCTTGCTTTTGGGAAGACAACTTCATGTCTGTAATATTTAGAAGAGGGGATTTCAGCGATGGCATCCTACTACTTCTGCCATCATCTTTGTCAGGCTTTTCATCACTGGAATCAGGGTAATCTAGAGTTACATTAGAATGGGAAGATGCTTCTGATTTTTTAAGTTTTGGGACGCTAGCAGTGGCTTCACAAGTCTTTCCCTTTCCTGGTGATTCAGTAAGAGGCAAAAATACAGAATCCATTTTCTCTGTAGCTTTAGAAACATCTTCAAACCATGACTGCTGCTCTACAGATTTTTGGGATGGGTAGGGAGTCCAGCGATGTATTTTTTCTCTTGAAGGGCTCCCACTTTTCCCACTGTTTCTTGGAGCTTTACTTTCTGGTTGCTTTGAAGTACCAAAATCCAATGCCCCCTCAGAAGGAAGTTTATCACTAGTAAAATCAAATGAGTCACTCCTATTATTTCGATCTCTGTATGGAAGAACAGTCACGTCTTTCTCCTGCCACTGCCACATATATCTTTCCTTATTATATTTAGCTGGCTCTAATAAGTATGTATCTCCAGAGCTTCCAAAATTCCAGCTATTTGCACCATGAGAAATAGACTTCCAGTTTCCTCCATAACTCTTGCAATTCCAACTAGAAAAATTACCTGTTCCTTCCGTGTGCCAAGTAGAATTCCTCCCTCTGGCATTGTGATGCCAATTTGATGTTCCTCCTCCTCCTCGCCCATTTGGATGCCAAACAACTCCAGAATTCCCATACTTATGCCAACTTGAAGAGCTTCCTGAAACATTTTGGTGCCACCCAGAGCGTCCCCTTGGGCCACCTGGATGCCTACTTATATTAAGGTTTCTCTGGGAATGTGAAAATCTGCCCTGTCTAGAATTAATATAATCATCCCTTTCCCATTTCCAGTCCCTTTGTAATGCATTATGATGATGCCACGATGACTGATCATAAGCTTCTCTTTCTTTGTATGTAGCTCTCTCTTCTCGCCTCCTCTGTGATCTCCTATCATCGCATTCTGTTTCTTGGTTTGTACAGCATGGTTCAACTTGCCTACAAAACAATTCAGAAGAAAACAAATTCTGATGCTATTTCAATGAAATCCAACATAATACAAGTCTCATCCATTTATCTTTCGCTAGGGAGATATTTTAAGAAGTAACAGAGGCAACTGACTTAGCTTAGCTGACTTTATCATTCAAGGTTCTGTAGTGGTTGACTTTCAACTCTAGCGTTATGCCTTTACTTAAACCTCGCATTTCAAATTTGCTCCTACAAGAACAACTGACATGATTCAGGCATAGTTCAAAGAGAGCTGTCAGAAAGCCTATTTTCATTGTACATTCTTTGCAATTTGAGGGATCTATATAGGAAAAAAAAAAAAACTAATAAGTAGTCAGATTTTTTCCCTGAAGACTACTCTGTTAGTACTAGACAGTATAACTAGAGTGAATTGATACAAAATAGAAGGAAAATTAGAAACCACTGAGAAAAGCAGTTATTCTACTTCATAGAAAAAAAAAAAACAATTAAGAACATGTCTCAGTTTATAAAGCTCAATTTATGTATATCTCACAGATATAGAACATTCACAGAAACCACAACTCAGATACAAAAACCTATTTTGTCTTGTTTTAAACAACAAACCAGGAGTCCACAGCATGCATTTCTGCGAGGGCCTCCCAAAAGCCCTATCTACTGCCCTTTGGATAATACTTGTGGTTGGCAGTCTGTCAAGAGCACATGGTAAATTATCACATGCACATTTAAAGATAAATGCTACCTTAACATTTGCAGCTATTCCCAGGGTCAGCACTCTAAACATATTAAGTATCTATTCTACCAAATGAGGAATGCTTAATAAAAGTTTTTACTCCCAAAAACTGATCACAGAAATACACGTACTCTAAGTTCCTGGACAAGCAAGACAGGAAGCTTTCATACTACTCTGCTAAAAAATACTGATATGAATAAATTGAAATTTATATTGTACCACCTTTTAAGATTTCAACACATTCCAATGTGGCGAAAAGATGCACAAATAATTAATGTCTAGTGGAAATGAGCTACTGCATAAGCTAAACTGAGCTTTAAGACAAGAAATCAAATAAACGATGTCTCAGTGATACCTTTAGTTCTGGGAGACGACTCAACTGGACTATGATCTAATGGAAACAGTTTTGCTGTAACTTTACCCATGTAATTTTTTTCTTTCCCCAAGTGCATGTCCAACTGAGAGATTTATAAGATTTTATTTGTCTCAGAATAGCACCGTACTAACAGCACTTTCACTAAAGAATGAAGAAAAATGACTTTGTTACTATCTACATCGACTATTATAAAAACACGACCACCACACAGAGACACTTTAGTAAATGGATTCAAAACAAACAGTAACTACAGTTATGCACAATAAGGCACTAATTGAAATTTTCCAGTAGTGAGCAAGAGCTTCTTTCAAAAAAAAAAAATAAATAAATAAAAATCACACAGCCCTTTAGTACCACTGCCATGCTGTAAACACATTGAAAAAATAAATTTCCAATTGGAACATGACATTAGCAATGCACACTTGCAGTCACATGCAAGATAAACGGCAGCACTCGCTACTCTCTGCAGCCTTGATAATTCTTGTGACTCACTATGAAATACTTTAGCTGCTGATAAGCAGCAAGATAAAACAAGCAAGTAACTTCATTCATGGATTATGGGATTTTAGTGTGACATAAGCAGAACAAGCCAGTTTATTTTAAAAAAGGCAGATCAAAAGTTTTAAACAAAACACATTCACCAACAGTTCTGAAAAGACCGTGTCCCTGCAGAACCATTCTCCCATTACACTAAAAACAATAACAGCATTACCATTACATTTACTAAGCCCTTCTGTTAAAACAAATATCACATGGTAAAATAACAGCATAAGGACTCTCAAAGCACAAGATATCACATTAGGGACTTGAATGAGACAGCATAACTTTTTTTTTTTTTTTTAAATCTACAATGGAGGATAGCTGTAATTCCCTACAAATAGTAGATCAACAGAACAAGTACATTTAGCAGAATCAACTGTACACATTTTAAACTACAGTCTCCACCTAGTTCTCCCAGGCCATTCTTGTAACAGGCATACTGACTGCACACAGTTTGCATTTCATGAGCACCCACTCCTTGGAGCAGATAACAACTGTGCAATAAGCACTCTTACGATGTTACAACTAAGAAAAGAAAAGAAAACTCACCGGTTCCGTTCCTTCCTTTGTTTGATCAGTTGAATGAGTTCTTTGTCAAGGTATTCTTCTTCTGTCTCCTCTTTCTCTTCCACTTTATCATGGGCATCAACATTATCTTTGTGTAGCTGGCTGGAGATGTGCTTGGCATATGCTGACAAGCCCACCAGTGTCACCCTGCACACCTGGCACTCGTGGTTGCTGTCCCTAGGAAGAGAGGCGGAGGGTGGGCTTTCGGTTCTGCCAACAGGCATGGTGGATTATCTTTGGTCTTACTTTGTTTCCTCTGAATGTACTTATCTTTAGCCAATGGCTTGTGTTCAAGGCTACTAGGTTTTGCTCAGTATGTTTAAGTTACTTGAATTCTCTGTTTGTTTTTTTCATTCAATGTCTAGTCTTTTTGATGGTAAGATTTCTAGAAGATTTCTTTCCAACAATCAAGAGGTAGAAGACTTGGTAGTAGAGCTGTGTTAAATAGGAGGAGGAATTCGTCTTGAATTGTTGTACTCAAAATCTTTTCAGAGGAAACACAGTGAGCGAGGAGGCAGAATGGAAGGCTTACAGAGCTAGCAGGAGCTGCTCTGAAGCCCTTCCATGGTGCCAGCTGCACTGGGGAAGCCTGGTGACAGCTTCTACATTTAATCTTTGCCTTGAGCCTTCCCCCAGCGAAATTTAGAAAAGGGAGGAGGCAGCACATGGATACAGCCAATCCTACTACAGCACAACCTAAACTGGGACAGCTGAGACTGCTGCCTGGAATCTAAAGACTCCATAGCACAGCAAGCAATGGGAGGGTGTCTTCAGTTCACTGTACTTTATTTGGTTCAAATGTGCATGAGATCTGCTTTCCACTTTAGAGGACATATCTTAAAAAAATACAGTAATTATTTCAGCTGGAGGAAGTTGACAGCTGTGGCAGACAAATGGTTTCACTCATGTTTCAGAGAATACTGGACTAAGGTTACAATTTTTTTCCTTTATTAAAAAAATCTAAAAATACCCTATTTGTTCTCCTAACAAATCCAACAGAAAATCCACTCTTAAGAAAATAGGAATTTAAAAATAACCCAAACAGGGAAAGCATGTTCACGGTTAAAAAAAAGGACAAAAACATGAATAAGTATAGTTCACTCCAACCAATTCAGTTGGAACAAGTCAGGACTCACTTGCTGCCTCCACAATGTTTCCTACTACTCTGACATTGAATTTATACTAGCAAAATCTACCTAACTCCATGCCACACTCAAGACTGAAGTCTTGTAACAGTAGCACTGTTTTACCAGCACAGTTCATAACTGTAGTAAAGAAACTGGGATCCATAATGGAAAAGGTCAAACATGAATCCCCAGTTTTTTTAGAAAAAAATAAAGTGAGAAACAGAAATAAATTGCACCTTTACTCAAAATACTAAGCCAGCATCCTTAAGTGGAGTGCCACCAGCAAACTACTAAAAACAATGTTTCCCCAGAATTTTTTTTCATCTTCCTAACTTAGTTAAGAAACCTAACCAATTAAGTCATCCAGGCACAGTCACAGCCAGTTAAGTAGACTAATTCATTGAAATTACACTCTTCGTATTTCATTTCAGATGAAGTATTTGGATAAGTTTCATTTATGAAAGAGGCAGCTTACACAGTGTGTTTCCTGGAGAAGGGTGCACTTCATTTTGCTGACTTCACACTCACTAGTAAACAGTCAAAGCATAAATTCTATACATATATTCAGTCTGTTTTATTAACCCCATATACAATTAGTGAATTTTACTAATGCACTGGAAGAACAATCTTCACACCCATGAATAGATCAACTATTAGTCTTAAGGCAAACTGCACATAAAACTTCTTGCAGAAAAAAGTGCTCTGTCTCTATAACATCACATTTACATGACAAGGAGACTTCAACACGAAACATACCTCAGGGATATATTACATCTTAGTGAATACTCCAAATCCTTCATTTCTATTCTCACACAGAACTTCTATCACTCACACTTGCAATGTGACTAAATGCATGCACTGTTTCTACTAGTCTCAGACAAATTCACAGCTGGGCTACAGACAAAGTTGCTTCTATAACATGTAATGTGTGTGACAAATTACTAAGCTGTGGCTCTTACAGCACTTGACAGTCTGGAAAGAAAATACTCAAGTGTGTTACAATTATAATGCCCTTCTGCTTCTTGTTAACTTCCAAGAACCTAAAAGAGAAGAAAAAAAAAAACAAAAGAAACCTAAAACTTCCTTCCCTACATGGACAACTACTGAAATTAAAGTAGAACTGCCTGAGTGCCTGAATGGTTATGCTAACGGGTATTTTACTTCTACTACCACTTCTGCTACACTATTCCTACTAACATCAGCCAGAACTGGGCATGCTCCCACCACGTGTACATTTCCCTACAAGTCACCTGAAACACCACACAATATCAGTTCTTTAACAAGGAGATCAAAAGCAGTTTTAAGTGAACAGGAAAAGCGTATTCACAGAATGACAGCATCCAAGAGCTTTATTTCCTGTATATTTCAAATGGCAGACTATGCCCCTCATACAAAAGCATTATTTCATTTTCAATTACAAAAGTGAAGTCTGCTTAAGCTTCCTATTTGACATCCAATTCCCATAACGTACCACAAGGAATAAGGCTTCAAGAAAAAGCGCCTTAAGTAGTTCAAAAAAGCTGTTCTAGTCCATGAGATACTAAATTAAATTTGGAAGAAAAGCATGAACCAGTATGCGCATCTAAAATGTAACTTCAAGATGGATGTTAAATTTGAAGGTAGCAAATGTTGATATAATTTTTGTTATCATCATATTTCACACAATTCAAACACCCTTATGGGGCTGTTGCTTGCATTTGGCATTTTAAACCTGGCTGTTACTGCAAAGTAAAAAGTCCATAAGTTCTTTTTCCAGAACAAATACCTTCTAAGCATTCTTCTAGAATAAGTGATATACAGTTAAATTAACACATTTCCCCAGTAAAAAAATAATACTGATTAAAAGTGTAATCTAATTTCAGTCTCAAGGAAATAGGAAGCCGAGAGTCATCAGACCACTGACAAGCTACTGTGGAATTCTATAATACGCAATTTCTAAAAATTTGTGTTACCTGTAAGAGTCAAGAACTATAAAAATACTAAAGCGGCAAGAAATGAGATGCTAAAATACATTAAATTTTCAACTCATCACTTTTCTGCCCTTGTAGTCACTCTAATCTCAGAATTACTACCAGAAGAAAGTCTAGAATAGAAATGCTCTACAAGTTAGCTGACCAGAAGCCCTAAATAAACTCCTAGTGCTGAGGGCATACTGGTTTCTGAGCAACCAGTTCCCAGCTGTTCAGTAACAGAACAAGTTCTTCTCACTCTCAACAGACACAGTGAATATTACGATGTGCTTGATGGCAGGCACGTTTTCAGAACATTCCTAGCTGACAAGGCCAGCTGTGTGGGGCATAGAAGCAGGATGGCCTGGGGTTTTTAATTATTATTTCTAAATAAGTAGCAGAACTCAAAAAAATAGCCTGCAAATTTTATTTGAAAAAAGCTGCTTTCATACATTTTTCTCAAAGTGAACATAAAAATTGAAGCCACAGACAGATTAATCAAATATCAGATGGAAGAAGAAATTGGGCAACAGAGGTTGTTTACTGCCAGTTAATATGCAGTTCAATGTAAGCAATATCTTTCCATTTATACAGCATAAAATTTATAAAGTAGTAGGCACAGTAGAGCTCAAATCCTAGCTGCAGTCTTGGTACAAAGACAACACAACTGGAACTCACTGCAGACTGTAAAACAGGTTAGAAGTATGACTACTTGCAATGCATTCACCTTCCTATAAGGACTATTTTTTTTTTTTTAAATTTCACTGCAACTGTTGTTAGCAGATGTAAGTAAGCATACTCATTTTCCAAATATTTTCCAGAGGACTTGTATTAGAAACTGTAGCAATTGGACAGATCAACATGATGGAAAAAGGTGTTTCACAAGAGGTAAAATGACAGAAGGACCAGCACAATAGAAAGGTGCTATAAAGGAAGGGAAGAAGATCGCTCACCCAATATCAGAAGATCCCAGGTTTGCAGGAGAAAGCCTCACCAAAGAGAGGAATCTGCAGGGAGAGATCCTTCCCCAGGGCCACTCAGCCCTTAAATGATGGAGGTCTACGAGAGGTGCAGCCAGGCTCCACCCCTTCCGCTCACAGCCCTGAATTGCCTTCACCTGTGCTCTCAGGGCTGACCTGGTCCTTTCCCCAGGTGCTCAATCAGTGGTTCAGGCCATGACTCAACAGTTCCCATACAGAAGCACATAGGATTACTGTTTTAGCCAAAACTACAGCAATAATTTACAATTGTACACAACATAAAATACTACACAGCTGACGCAAGCAAGTGTATTCAGCTGCAGCATGGAGGCATTGCAATCTTGCACTCAAAAACTGGCACTTTTTTGCAGTTACATAAATCTTTGCATATAAAAATATTCAGAGAAATAAATTTTTAAGTTTCTCTAGTCTTGAAGTATTATAAAACAAAGCAGTTTAAAATTTTGATTGGAATTCTAAACTAGCAAAAACCATATTGGCATTAGAATCAGTCTTGCTTCATTTCATCTGTGTTCAATATTTAAACTTAAAAAGTTTTAAGAGGAGGCCTGGAGCCATAACAGCTGCTCTCCTTCTGCACAAAAAGAGAAGGAAAGCTACATTAACTGAGAACTAATGCAAACAGAAGCTGTCTACCATTTATCTTCCTCAAATGCAAGATACTTGTCCCAATAAAATTAATCTCCCACACTCAGGAGTTGAAAGAAAATAACTTCCTAGTCCTTTAGAAGTTGTTTAACTTCTTAAATAGATGTGCAATTTTTATATGAAGTTTCTGGTGCAAGATGATTATAAGCTAGTCAAGTATTTAAGTGTAGACCATCTGATACCTCTGCCTACCTCAAAGATCACACAAAATCAAAAGAACTTGCAAGTGCACCCTGATTGCATCCGGTTTCCATATTATCAGGATGGTATTTGAATACCCCCTACCTCCTTCCGCTTTCCAGAGATTATAATTACAACCATGAAAGCCATCATCTACCCTGGTTAGCTCCCACAACCAAACAACCAGACCAGAGAGGCAGAAGACAAGACTGACACTCAAGCACATAAGCAGTCCTACATCCAAGATGCCAGATTTCCCACAGAGGTTGAAAAGTTAATAACCAAAGACTTATAAAGTTTGTTTTAATAGGAAAAAAAAAAAAAAAAAAGTGTCTGTAATTCTACCAAAGGCCGAATTACAGTGCTTCCAGGACACCAAACAAAAAGCTGCCAAGAACCAAAACTTTTTTTTTTTTTTTTAACCTTTCATTTTATTTTTCCACATCATTTGTCTCAGTTAACAAGCCTCCTGAGTTTTAGGTATTCAAGAACATGGTCATTGCCAGCTTTATCATATACCAGGCCTAAAATTGTGCAATTCAGCTTGTTTGAGAAATAGCACATTAGTCATTCTCGAGAGTAACAAACTGCACAAAGAGGCAAGATACACTATGGTTCTAATACCTTCCTTTCAGGTTTTCAAGTTCTCTGTGGTGAAGCATGCTCCTCATGTGTTCTTCCATCTCCTTCAGTAAAGAGAAAGAAAAGTAGAATTGGTTATGAAACAAGAAAGTAATTCTAAAGATTCCACATTCTCTTGACTTTTGAGCTGAAATATTTTGAAATCTTCAAAGAACAGACTCTAATCGTTATCCTCCCCAGTCCTTGAATTCACATCTCCAAAGTGAAAACAACACCTCCAATTCCCTTGAGTTGAGTGAATTATTACACTGGCATTTGAATAATAGCCTTGTGGCAAGTGGCTAGACAGATACTACAATTAAAAAAAAACAAGCACTGTTTCAGTGCAGGCTTTCCATGAAAAAGACAACGTGCACTCACTGACACCATTAATAAAAATATGTGCTGTGCAATTCCTCATTCTCATTCATATAGAAACAAGATAGAAATCCAAAAGGAAAAATAAGCAGCACAATTTATAACTGAACGAAGTTTCAAACAGTTCACCCTATTGTCTCTATGCAGCAATATAAAAAATACCCTGAAACCCTCCCTATTTTTTTATATTTAGAATCAAGGATACTGCAGAGCTCATTTAAAGGAAGATGCTTTAAAGCACGTGTAAATATACTATTTGGTTTGTGACAGATCGAGATCAATGTGCTCCCAATACAAGAAAAAAATTCTCAGAGCTCATGCAATTTTAAAATGGGAGAACTTCTCACATACACTTAATATTAGTGCCTACTGATGTTAGATGTAAACCAAGTATGAATTCTTTACCTTTTTTGAGCTGTATACAATGTGACACAATATGCATTTTCGTTCTCGCACCATGCTTACTACCCCAGGCAGATCTTATCCCATACCTGCAAATAATTCAAGAACAAACATTCAGAATTTTTTCATCATTAATCTGTTTCGGTAAGGAAAGTAAAAATAAGTTACCATTCATGAAAATGAGTGTGTTGAACTCCTTAAAGAGCTCTCTCATGTAGTTTTGAATAGTCCTTTAGAAAGCTGTTAAAAAAAAAAAAAGCTTTCCCTTTCTTTCTTTTCTCCTTGTCCTCCAAGATACAGCACTTATTCTGCAAAGACACATAGGATTGCTCCCAGCTACCCAAACCAGATTAACAAAAATCTAATTAATGCTGTTGTGCATTTTTCTGTCTCCGCACAAAGAGGCAGTCCATTTCACACTTTGTTATTTAACATCAGTCACCTTCAGAGCTAGTTCAGCTAATATGATCTAATTCAATTGGCAACAGCCTCCAACAGCTTATCCTATCATACCCCAATGGTTCACCATCCACCTTCTGTTTCTGGGACACTGACAATCTGGTACTGAGTGAAGCTGTAGCACAGCTGAGCTTACTGAGCTGTACTTACATTGAGACCAGCCTGCCCAGAGTTAAAGCAGCTCTGACATTCAGTGCAACAGAATAAGCAAAATCATATCCATCTACTTCCAAAACATGGATTTTGAAGAAATAACTCCTTTCCCTTGAATGTGGACATACACTTAGTTAAGGCGTGCATCAGCACCTGTCCAGCATAAAGGGAATGCAACTGAGATAATCTTTAGGCAAACAAAGCAGTTTCCTCCCTAAATTAATTCACTACCACACTAAAACAAACATGTTTAAAATGCAACAGCAGATTCAATCACCTTATGTTATTTATCCAGCATTTGTAGAATGCCATTCTTGAAATCTCAGTGGTATTTAATACACATTCTCCAGTTTTATCACACGGGCACCTGATGCGCTAGAATCATTAGCAACAGATATTTTTATTTTCATAAAGCATTCACAACAGTACAAGATCATTCAGAACTCTGCATCAGACCAGGCCACACAGAACATGCATGTAGAGCATTAATCTACTCCTGGAAAGCAAAAAATGCTGATTCTTGTTCCAATTTTAGATAGCTTCTTTTTGCATGAAAATATGCTCTACTTCCCTGGTCTTCTTCACTAACACTTTGTCATTTAGTGGAATAGTATCACACGTTTAGGATCTTGCTTAAGATTACTCAAGCACCCATGGAATTCATTCTGCACTAGAGAAAGACAGCAGCATGGGACCTAACCCAGGACAAACAGGTCATTCATTGAAGTGTGGTGACTTGCTGACACCAGTTTGCACATAACATCAAAAAGCTATCTATTACAAGGAGACCTAACACAACACCTGTTTTGACTAATTAAAACATATAGTAACTATACACGATTACAGGAAGAGTTTTAGGCTAACTGCCCAAACAGGGCATTTCTTACGGTAGAGTACTAAAAATACAAATAGAATTCAAATGCTATTGGATGTCACCATGAAAAGTGAAGCTTTCACTTCCACAGAGAGAAGCTCTTGGAAGCAAGAACTCGGAAGTAGTTTGATTTTGTAGATGCCATAGAACGTACATACAGTGGCCAGGAGAGCACAAATCCACATTCTATTTTCAGATCACCTCTTGACTTAGCACCTACATGGAGATGAATCACTTCCCTTCATACTCGTCTATCTCACAAATTCTGCTAGAAAACCTAAGACTCACTTAAATGAAGTACGTCAATTTCTCTGTGAAGACTCTCATCAAGCGCTTCAAAAAAACATGCTTTCCTCTCCTTTACTATGTAGCACTAACAAGAACCAGACAGTGATTGAGCCATGTACTCAGTAATGGTATTTGCCCTCATCATACACCAACCAATCTGTTCAATCACAATACCTGCGTTCAGAGAAAGGAATTACCTCTCATGGGTCACTAAGGGGAAAATGAGCTAGTATAAAAAAATAAAACAGTTAGCGAAGATAAGGTTTTACACTATCACATAAAAGAAGCATATCTCAACAGCAAAATGTAAAGCCTTTAAAGCAAATAAGGTGTTACGCTAACTTCCTGTTTTGAGGGAATGTTACCAATCAGTAGGGGATTTTGTTTGTTCTAAAGTAAAGGAATACATTTTACAACAGTGATGTAAATGGAATTTACCCACAGCCTGCACCTGCCCAGAGCCTAGAAACAGCAGCCAGATTTAATTAACTTCAGCAAGTCTGTTAGGGCTTGCGGAGAACACTTCTCACAAGTATAAATAGCCTACAAAGAAAAGAGGGCATTAGGCTACTTCCTGCTACAACATCCATTTGTCTACAGTTATTCATCCTCACCGGATAGCATATATTAAAAATGTATGTCAAGGCTAAATCTGCTGCAGATCAATGGCTGAGAAGTGACTATATAAAGCCACAAGCCATGGAGCAGGGCGGGCAGACCAGCATACCAGCTGCCCAGAACTCAGCAGCAGCACTGGGGCCCATCTCACAGCCACTTTACACACTGTAGATAGCAGTGGATATTCTGCACTTGACAAAAAAAGAAGCTGGGAAGTTCAGCAGAGCAGAATGCTCCGCAGCAATACCTTCCTCAGCCCCTCAGAGGGGCGTCAGCCCACTGCCTCAGAGACATCTCTCCTGCAGCAACCAGTTGCACAAACCTGGTTGAGCTGCATGAGAGGAACACGAGAGCTACCACAGACACAGGTAAAGGAGGAGAGTGACAGGCTAGAAAGATGCAGCTCACCACAAAGCCCTTTCATGAAAGGGCTTTTTGTTGGGCGATAGGAGGAAGAGGTGGATAGGAAGCCCTTCTGCCTTGGAGGGAAGCCTCTGGGCCTAGGAGAGAAAGGAATGGAAGTGCATCTTAGGCCCTGGAAGGCAGCTAAATGACCACTGTTAGGTTAGGCCATGCGCAGTATGATTATTGGAAAACTTGTTCTGCTAATTTTCACAGAGGCCTGGTCCTTGCAGGAAAACCTGGAGAACACCACAGCCACCTGCTGAGATAAGCCAATGCTACAAAGCAATGATTCATTAAAAATTAGTAAAATAGTGATTTTCTTAGGGATAAAACATGTACAGTTAAAGTCATTTCCCTCTACTACATGTTGCCCCAAATACTAAAATTCTCGTACCACTGTCAGATTGCTGAACAAAACCAAGTAATTCATTGCCACAAAGAAAGGCCTACACTCAAATTTCATCACCTCAGACAGAAGTTACGTGGAATAAAGCACCAACATTCTAAAACGATCTTTGCTTACCAGAATCACTGCTCTTGAGCTCAACCACATAGCAAGTGTCAGAGCCATGCTGCCAAATGAGCGATCAACTACTCTGCCACTGAGCCAGGAGATAAAAGTTATTGCATGGATCAACATCTCCATGCTCAAGGCAACATAGCTGACTTTGCTAACTATCCTAACAAGACATCTGCAGGAACTGTCTGTATGCTGCCCCATGAATAACAATGAATTTTTATAATATACGGGGAAGGTACACTGGAGATAAGGAGACTGCAGACATACACCTTACACAAACAGAGCAGCACATGCACAGGAACACCTGTCAGGAACAAGAACCTCCATTAAAGACTAGTTTTATTTCAAGCCAGGCTACAAATAAGTCACAGACCAGAATAATATATAAACCCTAAGTCAGAATTAAACTGTCTTTCCAATTTCCTATCAGAAATGCTAATAGTTTCCCAATAACCAAACTAAGCTTTCCTTGCTGTAAACTGAGATGGAACACCTCCCAGAGAAGATAAACACCTTCATGCTGTCTTACTTACCATGCACTTTTTACACACTGGCAGACACAGGGATGTGCACTACACTAATGAAAATGGAAAGCTGTTCAGCACCACTGTGGTATGCTGTCATTTCAGAGACTAACATCCACACACCTAGATGGCTTTTTTAGACTCACACAAGTTCCATTTCTTTAGGTGTTTTCCTGAAACAACATATTTTTCAAGGCTATTAAAATTCCAGTTTCTCTTTCCAAATTACCTAAAGAACTCTTAAAGAATTACATCCAAAACTGGACACACTACTCCAACTGGGCCCACTGGCAGGATCCTCCAACATTATTTTCTAAAGAGTGAAACAGAGTTTCATTAAGAAGCAACATAATGATCCCTCCACAAGATCAGGCACAAATGGCTTGCCTCAGTTAGATCTACCTGCAGCTACCAAAAGACCTGTCTGCTTATCCTGATAATCTTACACCACTTTGTAAGAGATCTTTGATGAAGAGGCCCTTACAAGCATGACACAAAGAGACACAAAATAATGTGGTTGGTATTTCAGCAATCTGTGTATTTTTCCCCCCCTCATAGGTATTTGAGCTCGTAGCCTTGACAGGTATGCAAACTGTGCTTCCATCACAGACTGTAAATTAAGAACAGAGGCTCAGAAACCAAACCAAAACAGACTGCTTTATATATCTATCTGTAGCAGTTCCACAAAATCAGATAATTGGTCTTGGCAAAAGAACTCACACTTCATAAGTAACTCTCTACAAAGTCCATGTACTACATACTCAGCTGAGCTAGAAAATATCTGTTCAATGGAAAGCGCACTGGGAAGTATTTAGCCAGTCACTGGGCTTTTTCTATGAATACAGTCACCACAAAGTATTTAGAATCACTAGAAAGTGACTTCAGGCACTTAAACCACAGTACTCAAGTCATTTGACAGAAACCATTTTTGGTGCCAAGCAAATTCAAGTCAAGGGTCCCAAACATTAGGCTGGCAGGCATCAATGATCAGACAACAGAAAAAACAGGCTTCTGCTTGAATTGTCACACCTATGTAACAGACATTTCATCTCAGTAGTGAGTAATAACAGCTCCTTTAATTTGGAATCAAAATGTAAAATCACCTAAGATCAGATGAGAAAAATCCATTACCCAGTAAACTAGCAATACTTTCTTAAAAATATGTATAATATAAAACAAATGTGTTTTTGTAACTTATTGCATTCTCTTGTTTTCATATTATCAGCTTGAATCAGGTAACATCTCAAAACTTAGGACACCATCTGGTGGTACATTCACAAAAGAGAACTGTCAGATGTTAAAAATAATTTTATCAACTTAAATTTGACTCAAGATACCTTATAAACTTTAAAGATAAAGTGGAAAATCAACAGGAAAAATGCCTTAGTTTTATCGGGGCCTCTGAATCCCCCTAGAGACAATCTGGGTATGTATTTATATTACAGTAATTGTGGTTATTCTTTGCACTGTACAGATATCAGAGCCCTGTGTAGATTAAGATGTATTTGATTGATATCTCATCAAACATGCAACATTTTCAGACATATAGGCCAGATGTTACCTGAAATTTGGTATAACAACTGGATAGATCAATATGATGGAAAAAGGTGTTTCACAAGAGGTAAAATGACAGAAGGACCAGCACAATAGAAAGGTGCTATAAAGGAAGGGAAGAAGATCGCTCACCCAATATCAGAAGATCCCAGGTTTGCAGGAGAAAGCTTCACTAAAGAGAGGAATCTGCAGGGAGAAATCCTTCCCCAGGGCCACTCAGCCCTTAAATGATGGAGGTCTACGAGAGGTGCAGCCAGGCTCCACCCCTTCCGCTCACAGCCCTGAATTGCCTTCACCTGTGCTCTCAGGGCTGACCTGGTCCTTTCCCCAGGTGCTCAATCAGTGGTTCAGGCCATGACTCAACAGTTCCCATACATTTGGTCATAGTGATTCAAGTGACTAACATAGTTGACCAAAACCACCTATTTACTCAAATTGAGGGTGTAACAACATAACATCTATTCAAAAAACTTCACATATAGAAATCAGTCAATGCTGGAACATACAAGTGATGCAAACGCAGTTGCCTAACAATTCAATTAAAGCCAAGTAAGAGGTTAAAAAAAAAAATTATACTTGCATTTAGAAGAAGTAATAGTCTGCTTTCAGGTCAGGATTGGAACTTGTTTTCTAAAGTTACAAAGCCAAATTTAATCAGCCTAAAAGATGTGTAATATTCATATTCATATCAAATATTGCAATCCTAATGGGGAGGTACTCTCAAAGTTCATGAAAACCTTTAACCAAGTTTTTGGAAGGCTTAAGCCTTTTTTAGGCTCAGCAAAACTTAATAAAGCAATTGAGGCTTAACTGAAAGAAACAGCAAGTGAGAGAAGGCCACAAACAACCATCAGAGACCAGGAGAAGCCCCAGGAAATGAAAGCCAAGTCCACCAAACCTCAGTCTTGCTCTCTTAGGCTGCTGCTCAGCACCTAGCCGTGGCACCACACCTCTTCAAAGCCGTGCTTCAGGCAGAAGGGATGGAGGAAGATACAGCATTGCCATGGACCATTCCATCAAGCCACTGCCACCGAAAACAGAATGACAAAGAAAAAAAAAACATTCTCAAAAAGAAATAATAAACCAAGCCCTTACAGAACAATTTCAGAAATGGAGCATGGTTATTAATTGTCAAAGCCACTTCTAGCCAACACGAACCATCTCCTGTTCCACCGCCCTATGCGGAGCTGCTTCAGGATCCGCACATGGTCAGTCTCACTGCAGGTTACTGGGCATTCATCATTACATCCACTCACACTCACCCAGACGAATTTTGGCTTCACGACAGGAAGGACAGTAACTGAACAACTCGAGCCCAGAGCTGCAATTCAGCCTCCGCAGGTACCGAGACACAGCCATACCTGCACGCCTCTAGCAGGGAACCGCTCTCACAAAGCCCAGTTAGCCGGACTGTAAAGCGCAGCAGCACGCAGCAACGCGGGATGCTCATCGCACACGCCTCCCGCTCCCCGGGCCCTCCGCCCCTGCCTCAGCCCCACCGAGTAAGCTCCCGCCGGATAGCCAGCGCTCCGCCCGCTACTCACACATCGCGGCCAGGGCAGGGGGCGGGCCTCCCATCCCCGCCGGCACCGAGCCCGCCCGCGGTCTGCCGGCCACGCAGCGCCCGTGTCGGGTCGACCCCACAGAGACTCGCGGGGCAGCCTCCAGCCACAGCCAATGCGGCAGCAGGAGACGGCCGCGCTGCGCGCCGGGAAGAGCTCCCGCGGCTCCGCGGTGTCTGCTGGGAAGTGTAGTCCCGGCGTCCGTAGCGCGCGTCTGTGCCGGGGCCAACTTCACTGCGAGGGCAGCACCGCCCCGACAGGTAGGGATGCTTATCAACTGATGATAACAATACAAAAGCCGTAACGATAAGTTTATCAATAAAGGTACTACTATAAAGAGAGAAAGTGTAATAAACACTGCATAGCAATACATGCTGCCGCTTTTAAAGCACACACAGTCGAGGAAAGCGGCTCACAGTTGACGCATGCGCAAACCTCCAGCTAGCCGCCATGTTGGGTGTACCACGAAAGTGAGACCGCGTTCCACCGCACTGCTCTGTATGGTGGCCGCTTTCGCGGCGCCATGTTGGAAGTGGCGTCGCCGTTCGATGGGAAGCTCCACCTCCCGCTTCCGGAGCAGCCGTGACGCTTCGCGGGGGTGGGCGGGGACGACGGGCGGGACATGGACTCTTAAGGGGAGGCTGGAGGCGGCTGGGCTCGGCCTGAGGGCGGCGGCGTAGCGGCCTCCGGGAGCGGTAGGTTTGTGGTGGGGCAGGCCTGGGTTCTGTGGCTTTCTCTGCCTTGGGTTGGGCGCGGCCCAGAGGCTCCGGTTCCCATTTCTGCCCTTCGGCCGGGGGCTCCCGAGGCGCTGCGGTAGGAGGCCTTGTCGCAGCTCTCCCCGCTCGCAGCCCGCGGGTTCTGCGGGAGGCCCGGCGGGGTGTGGGAGGAGTCTCCGCCAATCCTGTGGGCAACTGGAGCAGCCCTGGCTCCGTGCCTTTGTCAGCCATGCGCCTCGCGCTGTGGGGGGCTGTGGTGCTCGCTCGCACTGTTTCTTACGGTCTTTTTTTTCCGAGTGGAGCACGCCTCCTGTCCAGCGACAGCAGTTGATCTGACAGCCTAGGCTGCTGAGGTGGGGGAACTTCGGAAACCACTTTGTGCAACTTCTCTGGCCGCTGACCTTCCCCTTTTTCACTCTGTGAAAGGACGGCACTGAACAGCTGGGTGGTGCTTTACTTCTCCTTTGTGACCAAACCTGGTGCTATGCTGCAAACGGCACTGCATCAGAAGGTATTTTTCAAGATAAGAGGTAATGGCCTCAAGTTGTGCTGGAGGATGTTCAGGCTGGATATTAGGAAAATCTCAGAAGGAGCAGCGGGGCATTGGTGCAGGGCTACCTGAAGATATGGTGGAGTTACTGAACCTGGAGGTCTTTAAAGAAGATAGATGGTAGATGTGGCACTGAGGGACATAGCTGAGTGGGCATTATGGGGATGGGCTGGTGGTTGGGCTGGGTGGGTGATCTTTTCCAACCTTAATGATCCAATGATTTTAGGGCAAAGGAGCAGCCTCCTGTGGTACCAACTGCTCTATTTGTTGTCTTGAACCATTATTACCACTGGTTATTGACAGACCAGTAATTAACACATCTGAGTGCCTGAGCTCCTCTGTCCTGTGTGTCTTTTGATTGCTAGTTGTATATTGCTGTGTGTGCCCCTAGAAGAAACAATGTGTGTTGCTGACTGTATGTGTCTCTAAGATTGGTTGTTAACTTGTGTTGGCCAATAATTAATTTGGAAGAGGTATCACGAGGCTTTTCCAAGGACAGACATGGATTGTTGAGAGGATGTGGAGCTTGACACAACACAGAGAGGAGGTGGTATTGCTAGCGCCTATTCTTCAGCTATCGCCTCTGTGCAGTGTGCTCAGGAAGCTGATAAGATAGAGCAGGAAGCCTGCAGAGTAGTGTCTTGTTCTTAGTCGTGGCCTCCTCCCTCAGTGTTACAGATGTTTTGTTCATTTATCTTGTAGCCATAATAGCACAGAGGAGTACATTCTGATGCTGATACCTTGTACCATGCTGTATTAGATGGGCTGAATTTCAGCTGCCTAACAAGCACAATAACTTCTTGTTTGTCTAAGGAAATGTTGGGGGGGGGAACCCCACAAATAATTTCTTCCACACTTGGCCAATTCAAATTTGGGGGGGGGAGAGGAGAGGGGGAGAAGCAAAACCAAATTAATCCAAAGTTGCCTATTCTGTAAACTGTCTAGTTTTTAATCTTTGCAAAAAGGCAAACAAAATCATAAATAATGGCCAGATTTTTCTAAAAATATTGCTTCATTCACTTTCTATTTTATGGGAAAGTCAGCTGCTGACTTAGTCAGTGAAGTACCTGAGAGCATCTGTGCTCAGCAGGTGCTGTACCAATTCACTGCTGGCTGAAATTACAACTCATGAGCTCCTAGCTTTCAGTCAGTTGTTGCAACAGCAGGATTATGTCATCTTGTTTTTCATGCCTTTGTGATGAGATTATTCATTAAAAGGCAGAGACTGCATTTTTCAGTCATATTTAATATTTGTCTTCATACTTGTATTAAACAGCAATTGAAAGTGACCTGGGAATTATAAGATGTTAAGGTTTTATTTGCTAGTATCCTTAATAGGGGTTTATGTTAAAAAGGGGAAGTAGATGATTTATTTTCTAATTTACCTGAAAAGAAGAGGTCATGAAATATGAGTATTTGGAAATCGAAGGAATAGGCTTTTTTATATCACAACTTGCTGGAAATTAGTAACATGGAAATACATGGAAGCATAAGTCTCAGTACAGGAAAGACATTGAGGTGCTAGAGCAGGTCCAAAGAAGGGCGACAATGCTTGTGAAGGGCTTTGAAAATATGCCCTACAAAGAAAGACTGAAGGAACTGGGGCTGTTCAATGTGGGGCAAAGGAGGCTGAGCGGAGACCTTATTGCTCTCTTCCAATATCAGAAAGGTGCTTACAGTGAGAGCAGGGCTGGTCTCTTCTCACTGGTGACAGAATGAGGGGAAATGGCCTTAAGTTGTGCCAGGGTAAGTTTGGGTTGGATATCAGGAAACACTTCTTTACAGAAGAGGTTAAGCACTGGAATAGGCTTCCCAAGGATGTGGTTGAGTCACCATCTATGGATGTGTTTAAAAACCATTTGCATGTGGTGTCCAGGGACACAATTTAGTGGAGGGTTGTTAGAGTTAGGATAGTGTAGTTAGGTCGTGATTGGACTCAATGATCTTTAAGGTCTTTTCCAACCTGAGTGATTCTGTACGTATGAAAGTTTTCATTTATTTCAAAATGTGTTATTTTGGAGGAATGGGAGAAATTATTAACTAACTGTATTGATGTTTTTAAAATGCAGTCTTATGCTGAATGCTGCTTTAAAACAGCTATCCAGTTTCCAGGTGCAGACTATAATTACATCTCAACAGGCATTTTTGTAGGCCTTCTAATCACCTGCAATTGGTTTAAATCCAGAGATCTGGAGGACAGGAAATTCTTATGGATTTTGAGTGCTTCAGAAAGCATGACATGAATATACTGCGACTTGTTTTAGAAGGAAGCACTTTTTTTTTTCCCATGGGGCCAATAAGCCTTACACTTTCTTTACAGCTGGTACTGAAGAAAAGCATGTTCGAGTAGTGTGTAAATGGTCTGCTATAGCTTTTGTTACTTTAGACATATTATTTATAAGCCTTGAAAAAGGCTTGTAATTTAAAAGACTGAGAAGACTATGAAATACCACATATGATGACTTCTGAAACTTGCTTACTTTTACACTCCAGAACTGGGAACTGAGTGTTGGTATGACTCAAGTTAGGTAAAGAAACTCCTAAAATGCTTCAGGTGCTTCATGGGTGTGAAAACTTACCAAATGAAGCCCTCTTAGCCAATGATGCTTTGAAGAGGTCTGACACCATGCAGATAGGAGCCCCAAAGTGCCTCTCCTGTCATTACTTCCCTTACAGAAAATATTTTGTTGAACGTTTTAAGCTGTTCTATAAAATCTCCTTTACCATCTCTTTCCTAGCCTTCTCCAACCTGAAGACTTTGTATAGGAGAGTGAATTTAAGGTTTTTCTGAGCTTCTGGAGCCACTGACTTTGAATACATAGCAAGTGGAGAAAGTCTGTGTTCCTTTCTCTTTCTCTTATCTCATTGTTCCTCTTGTCCAAAGGGTAGAAGTAACTTAATTCTAGTCCATCCTCAGCAACTTACATAAAAGCTAGAATATTATGGTCCAAATTATAATAGTAAGCTTATAGGATGTCCTAGAGCAATTAACATCAACTTGTGAACAGGTAATGTCTTATCTGAAGCTTGTCAGAACTGGAATTTCCAAGAACTTTCTTTCACACCTCATTTTCCAGAATAAAGCATAGCAGAGAAGAGAAAATGGATTCTTGTGATCTGTGTTTGTTGGCATGCTGCCTTTGTTTTGTTGATGAATTTTCATTTTTATGGAGTTAATTTTCATTTTATGGGATAGTTAAGCTGTTTGCTGTCTCCTAACTTTGTTTGTAGAAAAGCTTCAACGCCCATTACTTCAATAAAATTAGCTTTTCATTTCAAGCCTAGGTGTACACTGCTTGTGGTGGGTGCCAATGTTCCTATAGGAGTGGTGGGCTAAGAGGGGTGTTCCACTGGAATGCGTTAAACTGTAATCCTTGTAGGCTGATAACTGAGCAAATATTGCAGAGCACTTCTTAACAACAAGGTAAATATGGCTGACTACCTACTTTTAAAAAGAAATTCTACTTTGCTTTTAGGCAAATGGAGATAAAGATCCTTGTGAGACATGTCTTGTTTTTTCTTTGAAATTTCTCTCAGCCATAGTAATGAACTAAAATAGCAGAATGTTTTTCTTAAGTAAAATAATTAAGCGACTGTGCGGTGAAGACCTGAGTACTCCTTATTAATGTAAGTTGTGTTCAATTGGAATAGCTGATCTCTTCCAGTAAAAATCACCTCGCCTTACTGTGCAGGTTGTATGCTTGTCTGCGAAAAGCATAGCTGGTCAAATAAATATAATTACAGCTTTTGAGTCCTTTAATGAATCAGTTTTGGTTATTCAGTTTGA